TCAACACTGAATGCTAACCGTCACTGCTTAAATCAACTTACGCAGTTGAAGCTACTCAGTCAAGAATTCAGGTCACATTAGCACGCCGTCATGTTACCTTCATGCACGCATCTTGGCCAGTTAAGTAGTCATCATCGCTCTAGGTATCGAGTCTCAAACAATATCTCGTAATTTTGAACGATCGATTTGGGGTTTGGATTTACCTCTGATCCCAGTGGAACAAGTACTTTGGGAGTTGCAGGATAAACAGTAGTGTTTGTATGCAGAGGGTCTTACGCAGCCATCAGCATTCTCCAGTGACCAATTTCGTTTATCACCAACCATTTGGCTTATCAGGAGCTAGTTACAGTGCTTAAGAAGTCGAAAATTGTCCTATGGTTGCTACGCCATGCATAGCGTTGTTGGTTATGCATTCTAAATTATTCAAGAGGCTTCAGTGACTGACTCTTCAATCAAATTAATTACCCATACTATCGACCAACAGTCTGTATTGTTGAACGTTTATTTTTGAAAGCACAATGGTCGGTAAGAGAAGTTGGGAAACCTAATGAAACAAAGGGAAGAGCATTCACCACTCAATACCGTTCAATAGCTACAAAAAGCCTTACAAATCATAAAAAGATATATTTCAAACTTAGTTCCTCGTCCTATCCTTTTTAATCCATTCACCAATCATCAACTATGAGTGACTATAGCGTTATGTGTTTAATTGACCCTACAGGTAAATTGAGCTCCGAATACTTGTCAACAGTTGATTGAGAACGTTCTGCCGTATTCTAAATCTTTGCATAATTCGACTGTCGAATAACGAATGAGGCATTTCTGTGATGCTGCGTTATTTATCGGTTCACTAGTTCACCAGCCAGCTGCACGTAGAGCTGGCAACCCTACCACATAAGATCAACTACACAACAAACCTGTGGTGATTGACTATTTCTATCTCTGTATTGCTTAAATACTTACTGTTGATTGTTCATATTTCTTATATGAATTGAATTATAATTCCGCTAAATACAAATTCCTGAATTCCGCCCTCTGTGTTTTGTTTAGATTCTTGTAATTCGGTCATCTCGAAATACTAATACTACGATTACAATTAATTACCACAAAACCCCGACATTTTATTTTGTGCATAAGGCATTGTTTTTTTCTTGCATGGGTAATGAAGTCTCTTCTTTGTTTACCGTTCATCTTACTTTAGACTCCGTTTTGAGAGTGTCATCTGAGGCAAGTGAGTCGCTGGGTGGAGATTTTAAGATCAGATAACCGGATAGATTAGAGAACTTCTGTTCTCTGCTTACAGTCACGTAAGGGTCTATCTCAGCGAAACAGTTTTGGGTATTCTGCTCGTCCGGCGAATAATTTCTCCCTCATCTTTTCAAGGTCTTGGCTGTTGTATCAGAACTTGGTTCTCATTTTCATGTGGTAAGTTGAACTTCTGAGCCTAGCGTGATAGTATCGGTCACTACTTCAGTATACAAGCCAAGGGCAGACAACCATGTAGATTACAACACGAACAGTGAAACCGACTATCTGATACCGAGAAATGATCCCAGAAAACTTTATATGCAACAGGATTATTTTCGGCTGCAGCAAAACAATAGCCCCTCTAGCAGCAGAATTTCTTCAGGGAATAGTAGACACGTTGACAATGACTCAAAATCCATCGCAATGGAGCATATGGAGATGTCGGCTAACATCACAATCCTCCATGGACAATTTACACTGACATAAGATCAGGTCGGAAAAGAGCCAGTGGTGGTCAAACCAAAACATTGCTTCATCAGTTAGTGAAATCCATAACAGTTAGTTTGAGGCAGCCACATAAGGAGGTGTAGACTTCCTGATTGGTTGGGGTCCACGGAAAGGTGAACACCATTGGCTGGAGACAATTGGTGATGGCACAGATGCATTCACTACTTGTAACCCATAATATCTAATAAAACTATACTGTTCTTCGATATTACTATTCTTTTTGCCTCATGTCTCTGTTTTGAACCTCATTTTACTTTCTTCTCCTGCTTTGTGTGCTAAATGAAGTGTGGCGGCTCAGACAGCTGAACATCGGTATTAAGTTCTACTTTGAAACTAGTCAGTCAATGACACTGTCTCACCTCAGAATGCCTCTGAACATGATATAGGCAGGCAGGATTTAAGGAGAGTAACGAGGAAGCTTACCAACTATCCTCCCAACGACCCTGTTTTCCCGAAAATTATGCTCTTAACTGCTCGATCTCTTTCCAACAAAATAACATCACTTCGCAGCCTGGTATACATGGAACGGCCAAGACTAATCCTGGTAACTGAGGCCTGGTTAACTAATGACATACCTGACACAAAGCTGGTAATCGGTGAATAGGACATCCACGTGAATGATAGAGTCGTCAAGAGAGGAGGTGGTTGTCCACTATATGCCTCCAAATCCACTAACTGCAATACATTTACGAGCCCACCTATCAACAAACTCTCAGAATCTAAGTGGACAGGCCTCAACATAAATGCAAATGAAATTCTGGTGGATGTATATACAGAGCCTCTAACAGCCCTTAAACAGCTGATAGTGGAGAAATACTAGAGCACTTGCCTACGCTGGAATTAGACTACAAGCTAATTCGTGACGATTTTAACCTCATCGGAGTGAACTGAGACACCTGCAATGGACCTGGAGTCGAAGAAGAGCTCCTGGAAGCTATAGATGTAGGAGGATGGAAGCAGTGCGTTCGCTTCGCAACACAACATAAAAATGTTCTTGACTTAATCCTCCGCCACAAAATAGAGTTGATTTCCATGGAGGTGGGGGACAAACTCGGTAACAGTGATCACAAGAACAGAGAATGCGTCTTAGTCTGTATCATGCAACATATTTCTCAGTGATTGGATATTGTCACGTGAATAGGATCGGTCCCACCCAGTGTAAGGATGGAATTTTCTGGCTTGTGGCTAGCAAACCTACACCACAACATTTATCGAACTGCTACAGAAACTTCAAAGCACAAGAAATATATTACAAATACCAAAATCAGAGTGGCGAAATGACACCGCGGGTTGGTGCAAGTCTGAATTTGGGAAGCCAGTCAGCCACCTGAGGTGTCTTCTCTCGATGAAGGCGAGATTAGGAACGGAGACTGGGAAGGTCGCCCATGTAGCTAAAGAAATGAAATTGCATAGCACAGAAGTGCTAGGTATCTGTGAGATCAGATGGAATGGATGCAGATCATCGAAATCGGAGAGTCAGTAATCTATTCCCGTCTGATCACTCAGACGACAACCACGAGCACACTGAGACAGTGTGTCACTTTCATGATGTCACCAGTGGCAGCGGAAGCCCTAATGCAGTGGGAACCAATTTCACTCTGAAGGATAATGACAGCAAGATTTAACTCAAAAGACAGGAAGTTAGGTAACAATCATCCAACGCTACCCACAGTGCTACAAACAACACAGAACTAGAGAAGAAGGGAGATTTTCACAAACAACTACAAACACTAGTGGACAACATCACAAATGGTGACATCGAAATCTTCATGGGGGATATGAGTGCAAGCCTAGCTGGAAGCAGATAATACAGAAGAGAACTCTTCATGGGTCAAGAGTCTCTGACTCAGAAAACTGAATGGGAACAGATAATTATTCGCAGACTACTGCGCTTCCTATGATTTGTTGATAGGAGGCAGCGAGTGAAACCAGAAGGATATACACAAAACAACATGGATCACGCCTGACGGATATACAACCATTCAGATAGACTTCATCTCGATGTTGCTCAAGGAGGTGAAGATGCAGCCTGCTGGACACAAAATCAACAAGGGGAGAAGGTGTAGTCTCACACCATGATCTGGTTCAAGAAACATTCAGCGCCAAGCTGAATGCCTACAAAACAACTGGTGACAGACAACAATTGAAGTTAAACACTTAGAACCTGAGAGACGAAACTACAAACGATGCCTTCACCGCAGCCATAAGAGAGACGTAGGAGACATTACACACCCTCACTGATGAGAACACTCGAGCTCTCTGAAGGCGATATCCAAGGAAACCTGTACAACCGTTCTAGGACGAAATAAGAGACCAGAGAAGGAACGGCTCTCTACGGACACCTAGAAGCTAATAGGGGAGAGAGGGGCAGTGAAACATAAAATGAAACACTGCAAACGTGCACAAGAGGAGGAGAATCTGAGCCCAATTTACAACGCACTGAATAAAGAAGTGAATAAAAGGGCTAGGAAAGGCAAAAGACAATTCTGCGACACACTGGCTGGCGAATGAAGCAGAATAGACAAGCCACAGGTAAAAGCGACCACGGAATATCATATCAGGTAACCAGTTTTCTATCCGAGATGGAATCACTAGATGAAGCCAAAAATAGTAAAGCGAACCTAATTATCACAGAGGAGGTTCCAAGGAAACAGTAGGTTGAACACTTCAGAAGATTCTCAAAACAAACCAGATTCGGGAAGTCAAGGAAGACATTCACCACTGTGAAATCAATCAGTGTCGAAATTTATTGCACTCAGCATAAAAAACAGGATTCGGATTTCGAATACAGTGTCAAGCCACTGCATACTTCTTTAAGGTTGAGAAACTTGACACACACGTCAAGAAAAACATTGGCAATATCTGTCTCCTTCGCTACCTCAATACTGAGGGTCAAATGGCCAAAAAAAGGATAAACAACAAGGAAGCCTGTGAACGAACCAATCAAGAACATATCGCTCAACAAATATCCCGAAGAGAATGGAGACGGCTCGGACATACACTGAGGAGACCATCGAGTGGGACGCGAATGAAGAACAGCGAGTTGGGCGTCCAAGAGTGACATGGAGGAGGAGATTGTGCGAGGAGGAAATGAGAAATCGTCGAGTCAACTGAAGAGGACTGCAGAGGATGGGAGAGGCCCCATGTTCCACTGAGAATCCAAAAGAATGATGGTAATCTTGTTACTAAGTGGTTGGTTGGTTTCTTGACTGAACATTTATCGCACATCAAACAGATCGCGCATATTGTGATCTGAATCTGTTTAATACTTAAAGGAAACCGTGGTGATTTATCCATCCACTAACTTTAGTGTAACCATCATCACGATAAATGCAGCAAATAAAAAACTTAAGAAATACACGATGATTCAGTAACTTCCATGTTGGTGTGTAACATTAGGAAAGAAAATCATTCAGTGAAGAGTCCCTTTATCCAATCAATATACTATAAAGTTGTATAGTCATATATACATGGATCGTTTTTAAGGAACTACATAAATCATGTGAGGAGATTGATACAAAAGGCGTGTGAAGACTCATGATAATAATGATAATAATAATGTTAAAAGTAACGTAATGTATGTTCAATATCAAATGAAAAAACAGGTCATATATTATATAAAATATCTGACAGAATGTATACATCTTGGAAACGAACTGGAAAATCAACAGCGTATATATATGCATATATGTACAGAAACAGAGTGTGTGTGTGTGTGAGGGAATTCAAGAATTAATAGAGGAGAACAAGTGGAATAATACCCGAAAAATGTTCAAAGTGAAAAACGCAAAAATAATAGTAATCGTGATAACAGGAAGAAAGGTACACAGACTAGATAAACAAACAAAACGATAAATAATGAAATAAATGTTCATCACTTTATGGAAAAGTTAGAAATACGGAGTGCTGTATGTACATTTTTCTTATACAAATGTCTGGCTTAAATTCATAAACACATAGCCAAGAGGACTCAATTGTCATTAGCTGACTGAAACGCAAAAATGAGCGGCAAACTACCATGATCTTAAAATCAGCGTTAGTTAGTTGGTTGAGTGAATGACAAAAGTCATCCAAGTGTTCTAGAAATTTTAGTAACGACTAAGAACTGATTGTAAACAATGGTCAATCAGCATTGCATCTTCTTCCATTTTCATTGACCAACATTCAACATCGCCTAATTCCTTCAGTGAACTTCGTATATCCGTTACCATTTTCAACCACAGGTTAACATGATTCTGATAAATGTGTAATTGTGAGACTAACTCTTTGAATTCACTATTTAATCGATGTTGATTTATGTAGGCCTAGAGAAAACGAATTAAAAACGATAATAAAAGACTGAAATTAATCGACAAAGAACAGTTTCTTTCCATGTCCTGCTATTCATCATATTCGATATTTATGTGTACAAAATGAACAAATGAACTTAGTCTTTTATGATTAGGAATACCTACCAGTGTGATTGAATAAAGGTGTAGTAAAAATCATCAACAGTTTCACATTAGACCACCTGCTCCAAATAGGCCAAAAAGCCAGCATTGGAGAATCTTTTCTACCACCTATCGGGTACCAAACAAATTTCCGAAACCTTCCAGTTGCCGAATATGCGGAAAAACAGAGGCAAAAGCAACTCGCCTAAAATAGCCAGAATTCTGTGTGTGAAAGTAATAGGTCGAGCCATTATTGACACTTTGGCCTGAAGTGGAAAACTGTAAATTCAAAAAAGTCTGTCTTAGTTTACTGAAACTCATCTGATACCATTACTCAGAGATACTTTTGAACTGTAATCTAACTTCACTTAATGGTTCAATCGAGTCTATTTAGGTAGAACATCAATATCGTTAGTAACAACATTTCTTCAATTATTATAGATAGATAACTGCAGAACCCGACGAAGGGGAAAATGAAATTATCGAAAAGATTAGCCTTTGTTCAGCAATCTCAGTTGTTTTCTGACTCATAGGATAATGAAGTGTTAAAGTAAAAACAAACACTTTCATTACCTTTGAAACATTTTCATCAATTTTAGCCAATAATTCATTTGAAACTTGGTTGATTGATGTCAGCATGACTTGCTTCTTACTTTCTAATTGAGCTTTCCTTTGCGATTTTACATTCTGATATTCCTTATAGATTAACGTCAACATGGTGTAAAAAGGGCACCTTGAAGAATGCAAGAACAGACATAGAAGAGAAATTACTGAGTCAAGGCAAAGTCCAACTTTTATGCACTCAAGAGGCGGAGAACGAACAACTGTGCTGTAAAACAGACGAATTTGAATCCCTAACCATAGTCTTTGTTTAAGTTAACCCCAATCTCTGCCTAACCAACCGCAATATTTGTTCTAATTACATCCAATTAACCTTAAGCTGTTTTAAACCAAAGCCTAACCTTATTATTTCAATAATTTAGCATACAAGTAACCAGTTATCCTGAAGAGTATCATTACACTTCACTCAATATCTTTTCAGTCATGAGTACAGTTCTATTTACCCTTGTTTGGATTGTGAGCTTTCCAAAATTAGCGGTGTGGTATTGACGTCTGTAGGATGTGAAAAGTTTAATTTCGCTGAAGTCAACCCGTAAGGACGCTAAGACGTACATACACACATAAAGACAGTGGAGTACATCAGGTCGGGTGTGAGGACAAATACTCGCCAGCGGTGAAATTGACTAGTGTCAGTTGCGCTACATCGTGAATTGGCAGAAGTTGGAATTCATTGGCTGACCGTTCGATCGGGTTCCAGTGACTTAATGGTCTAGCTCCGCTTGTAGTCGGAAGGTCCTGGGTTTGAACCCAAGTGGGCGCGCGCCACTGAAGAGTTCTGATATAGGACGAAACAGCTGTCCAGAACTCTCAGGGTTTCCAACGGCTCTCTGATCGATGTCAGCTCATGGTGAAATCTTGTCACCTAACCATCAAATATACAGAAGAAGGTGTAAATCAACTGGACATTTGGTGAAGGGACAATTGTATGACAACAAAAGCCAGAATCGATAGTGGACTTCTCATATGAGAAATCAGTGGAGTAGGGATGTAGCTATGAAATCATACGGTTCACCAGGAACTCAAGGAATGAACAACAGTAATTATTATAAACTAATACTATGATACCTGTCCATCAGTAGACAATGACTAAACTAATGAATTAAGGATCAATACATAATACAAATTGACTTCATCTCAATCTCAATGAAGTGGAGGCGCAGCCTACTGGACACAAAAGTAAGAAGAGGAGCAGACGTTGGCTCACACCATTATCTCGTACAAGGGACAATCCAAATCAAACTAAAAGCTTTCAGAGAAGGAGGAGCTGCAGACAGACCACAAGCCAAGTTCAACACTCAAAACTGAAGGACCAGGCTACAAAGGACATCTTCATTGCAAGCATAAAGGACAAAGTCGAGACACAAATCAACATCAGCGAAGAGGTTGGCATCGAAAAGCACTGGGACAACTTGAAAACGGTGTGGAGTCAAACTTGCATGGAGGTTCTGGGCAGAAAGAAGAGGCAGGACAAACAGTGTCTCACTGTGGACACTTGGAAACTAATAGAGGAGAGAAGGATAGTGAAACAAAAGATTATTCAGTGCACCGACGAGCAACAAAAACAAGAGTTGAATGCAAATTACAATACACTGAACAAAAGAGTGAAGAAGAGTGCCAGGGAAGACAGAAGAAAATATTATAAAGCCATGGCAAACGAAGCAGAACAAGCTGAAGGCAAAGAGACCTCGCCACACTCTACCAAACAACTAGGCACCTATCGGGAAAAAGTTCGACACAGATTAAGCCAGTAAAGGATGACTATGGAAAGTCAATCACCAAAGAGGTGGAACAAAGAAAGCACTGGGCTGAACACTTCAAAAGACTTCTAAATAGACCGCCACCTACAACGCGCCCAACAATACCAACAACAGAAGCAGAACTACCAGTGAACATCGACCCTCCGACGAAATCAGAGGCCCTGAATGCAATCAAGATGCTAAAAGCTGGAAAAGCACCAGGACCAGATGGAATCCCAGCAGAAGCTTTGAAAATAGACGCAGAGACAACAGCGGACTTGATGACGCCACTACTGGAGAAGGTGTGGAAAGAGGGCAAAGTACCTGAGGATTGGAAGGACGGATACTTATTCAAACTACCAGAGAAAGGAGACTTAAGTCAATGTAAAAACTGGCGCGGAATTATGCTCCTGTCCATCCCAAGCAAAATGCTAAGCCGCATCATCCTGGAGAGAATCAAACAAGCCCTAGATGAAAAACTCCGACGGGAACTAGCTGGATTCAGGAGAAACAAGTCATGTATTAATCAAATCGCCACTCTACGAATCATCATTGAACAAAGCTTGGAATGGGAGTCGCCTCACTCAACTTCATCGACTTTGAAAAGGCCTTCGACAGCTCAGCGTCGATCGGGAGGTGATTTGGCAACTACTTCGCTACTACGGGGTGCCATCGACAATTATACATCTCATCCAACAGTTATACGACAATGATGCATGACAAGTAATCTACAATGGGAAACTTACAGAAGCCTTCAAAGTAAGGACGGGAGTGAGACAAGGCTGTCTATTGTCACCAATGATTTTCCTGATTGCAGTAGATTGAATAATGCGACAGACAACGGGCAATGAGGAAACAGGCATAAAATGGACTCACACAAAAAACTTGGAGGATGACTTCGCCGATGATATATGTCTGATTTCCCACAAACTGGAAGATATGCAAGTGATGAAAAGCAACAAGTTAGTAGAAGAAGCATCAAAGATAGGACTTCAAGTGAACATAGATAAAACAGAGGTGATGAAGATTCCTGGCCAACACCACCAACAACAACAACAACAACAACACACAACAATCAGCATAAATAGGAGGAGCCTGAAAGAAACAACCTCCTTTACCTACATGGGAAGTACCGTTTCAACTACAGGCGGAACTGACGGGGATATCAAAGCCAGAATCGGAAAAGCAAGGCAGACTTTCATTACTCTTAAGTCTGTGTGGAAGTCAACAGCACTCAGCATCAAAAATAAGATCCGGATTTTCAACTCCAATGTAAAATCAGTGCTTCTATGCGGATCAGAGACTTGGCGAGTCATAAAGAGCATCTCAAACAAACTCCAGACCTTCATCAACAGTTGTCTTCGCTCAATACTCAAGATCAGATGGCCAGAAAAGATCAGCAACAGGGATCCCTGTCAATGAGCGAACCAACCAGGAACCGACTGTGAAACAAATAGGCAGGAAGAAATGGAGATGGATTGGCCATACGCTGAGGAAACAAACCATCAAGTGACATCACTAGACAAGCCATTGCTCGAGTGGAACCCGAAAGGGAAGCGGCGAGTTGGTCGTCCAAGGGTGACTTGGAGGAGGTCATGCGAGGAGGAGATGAAAGCATATGGGCAGACTTGGAGCAGGGTGAAAAAGTTGGCAGAAAACCGAAGGCAATGGAGACGCGTGACTGAAGCCCTATGTTCCTCTAGGAATTAAAGGATAAAATATTAATATAATATACATTTAAGAGTAAGGCGGCGACAGGAGAAAGAAATAAACTGAGATAGTAATATTGCCAATCACTCAGTTAAATATTTTAAAAATTAACAATACGATTAAGAACACACGATATTAGTGCATCTGCACCAATGAGATTTTGAATCGTAATAACTGCATTTTTTAACTATCGGTTTTTCACTGTCCTACAAATCTTGATCAGAATGTTTTCAGTTCTTTGAATACTGCAGGCTAAACACTGCACACTTCATATCTAGTTGTGGTGAGAGCTGTCCGAAAGCCAAAATTGTAGACAACAATTTGCGTCAGTGTTTACGCCCCAAATAGGGGTCATGAGGAAAAACAAGAACAAGGCTGGACCTTGAGGAACTCAACAACCAACTGCAACAGACTTAATGTGCGCAAATAGGATTCACAGATATATGGATTAACTTTCTGAGGAACGGTCACAAGCAGTACAGAATAACCTACAGAAAGAAAACAACCAATCAGAAGACGTTGCTTCTCTGATAACAATAACGAATAAATAATGATGTACACAAATATCTATAGATATTTCTTGATTTTCTCAAAAATCGTTCTGTTGCCTGGACCTTGTCTTCTGTCGTTCTGTCTGGATTCAACATAGAACTTGGCACCGAAGTGCAGCAGTTCGAGTAGCCACGTTCCAAATAGCACACAGAGGTAGACAAGAAGATGAGTGAAGAGAACCAGTAGAGTTTCACAAGTATAAGAGTGAAATAGAATAGGTAATGGTAGAAAGGAATATGAAAGATTACAGAGACTGAATACATCTGCGCCATTGACAACGATTTTGAGCTATGTCACCTATTGTCTCCAGCCATTGATTCCTAGAGTCCCGAGGGCCCCAACCCGGAAGTCTGCATCTCCCTACCTGACTCAGTTTAACTGTCAAGGATTTCATGGATTGATGCCATGTTTTTGTTTGGCCACCGCTGGCTCTTTTCCAACCTGCACCTATATCAGCTAGCAATGCCCGTCGGGGGAGGCGATGGTTAGGCATGCGCAGCACGTGACCTAGCCATCTCAGTCTATGTAACTTTATAGCCTCGTCGATTGATTTTCCCTCTTTGCCCAACACTCTACGCCTAACGTCAACATTACTTACCTTATTAAACCACCTTCTGTCGTTACATAGTAAATTACTTTCTATGACTCAACAACTCAATAATATCACCACCACCTTCATCGAGCGAAGTTAGCTGGTAAAGGAAAGGAGATTTGAGACTGGTCAAATCCAAACATGGGAGCGATTCATAAAGTATTTTACTTTTAATTAGATACAAGCAGAAAAGAATAGATTGACAAGCTAAGGTCCTCTAGACGTAGGGGATCAAAAACTGAAGACTGCTGGTTATACTGCTCAAGATAGCAGTCGCATTCACAGTTTAAGAACTCCTAGAAGAATTAATTTTGTTATTATTCTCCAACTATTTATCCCTGTTTCCATAGATTTCGTTTCATTATAATACCTAAGATGTCCTGCTTTTTCTCTACCTTTGAGGGCTTATAAAATGTAGCGATTGGAACTGGTACTGTTGTAGCACCCCTATATTAAGCCTGAATGTACACTCAAAACGAATTCATGTACGCATGCTATACGCTAACAGAAACTAATTTTACCTATGCTTGTTGAATATTTATCATTGTATTATTGTATATTGCTTCTCGTTTGTCATGCATACATTTTACGCGGTTACGCACTTTTTTCGTTTACCTCGCGCCTTTTAAAATTCGATTTCATTAACAATTCACGTTTTTCAAGTTTCCGTTCGTGCTTCTTAATACAACGAGTTTCATCGTAGACCGTGTACAGAGTTAGCGCATAGTAGAACCTGAAAACGTCGATGTACTGTAGCATCCTTGGTACGCCAGACAGCCACCCTGTGACTAATATTTCTACGTCGAAGCCTCACTCAACCAGCCAGTCACCATCTCAAATAGCCTTTGGGATTAGGTAATGATTCAACACATGTAATGCACATATCCAGACCATCTTTATCATATAGGTTATGTGATGACTGATCAGCGGTTTGATCAGCACCTCAAAACGTTTCACCATTTATCAAATACTTGCTGACAAGATAAAACAGGTGGGCCAAGCTTTTCTGACAGGATATCTTGTACACAATGTGTTACTGGAATTGTTCAAAGCATTTAACAGATTTAATCAGTTTATTCTCGACCGATAGTTACTATCGTGACAAGTGGTGGGCCAACTTGCATATCTCAATGAGCCCACAAGCTACTCTGGCTGGAACAAATGTTCCTTGCAGGTCGTAACGTGCCAGAAAGGTCGTCTGAAGAGAGGTCACACTGAAGGTATCATAAGTGGTTTACACCAAGTTTAGGCATTCTGTGGGTGAGGTTGTACTACTGGCTAACACAGGTGCTATGCCCAGACGAACAGTCAATCTGTTATGCTACCTTTCTGCTCTGTAAAAGGGACATAAGAAATGCTGGACGCAGAAAGTTGTACGCACAGACGTAGGTTATGGTAGCCTACAGCTATAGATAAGATCTCAGTAAGGCTTCAATTCCACAGGACAATTCAAACTGTCCCCATGACTCTGTGGTTACTGTACGAGGTATTCAACACCAATACGTTGAGTGACTGGGAGGTAATTTTCGCACACACACACAATTGCATCAGCAAAAGAGGTTTTCATGATCACTCGCGTTAACCTACATCATATAAGTCACTTTGCTATCTTCGTAATGTTAACAATTTAACTACAAATAAGTCCCGAAATTATTAGTCTACAGCATTCGTTACTCAATACTCAATGCTGACCTCCAATGTTTAAGTCGACCCGTTTAGCTGAAGACTTACAGTAAGTGCACCCACGCCATCTGGCATGCCGTCGTGTTACGTTCATTCATTAGTGCACGACTCCCAGCCGGTTAATTATTCATCTTTGCAGTACGATTTTGATCCCGAATCATATTTGTATATTTTGGAGGATCAATTTCGTGTTTGAATCTGCCTTTCGTCTGCGCAGGACAAATACCACAGTTGTGGGTATAAGAAGTTGGTTGGTATAGGAACTTGCGTTGGTATATGTCGTACTTCGCGTTAACTTTATTTTCTGTTTTTCTTAAACACTTTTCAATGGGCAGGTTTAACAAATTAATGCCACCACCACTAATATCTACGAGAGCAGAAAAACTATTAATAATCACATTTGATTTACTAGTTAACTCCACTCTATAGTCAAGAGAAATGGTGTATATTATAGAGACTATAGGAACAGTTACACAGAAAATACAGCTATTTCTACATTTGTATTACAAGGAATAAAACGCAACATCCGGCCTACAGTCTTCTTCACCACAGAAGAAAGATACATGTTGGCAGTGTCCTTAGAACTTCACCCCAACAATAAATAAATGTCTATAACTAGTCATTCCCGGCTAGAAGTAAGTTTAAACGTGAGTTAGAAAAGTAATAAACCAATATTAAATATGAATAAAAAATACACTAGATATGATTGATACATGACTGGCGTTTGTTATGGGGCAGTCAAGTTTGAAACGACACAATCCATGAAGATTAAATATTACGCAGAACTGTTGGCGAAATTCTTATGGACTTAAACATATTATAATAACGTCTCCAATCTGAAGAACGCAGAACAACTTATTACCGAACAAATCGATTCGTTGAAACCTATTCTTGTTGATTTCCAAGGCACTGACTTTTAAATGTAATCCCAATGGATAGAAGTGCGGACTAAGATATTACATTTCTACAGGAACAGCTACAGCTATGAAATGATATTAACGTTAAGAGCTTATATCGAGGTTGACATCGGCACTTACAGGTTAGACAATGAGTGTATGGAAGAATAGATCCCCACCATACTAAGACGTAAACACAGTTTCCAAATCAGAAATGGTTAATCAACGTCAACAATAGTTTCATAGGTCCAGGGAAGAGATATGACTAGGTCAAACACATTTCAACTACCTCAGGCTTGAAAACATTGAAACCCTACATGCAGGTTAAATGTTGGTCTTCACCACTTGCCATAAATAATTCTCAGATGGATAATTTGAAAATACTTCGCAACTCACACAACAGAAATCGAACAAACAAACGCGAACTAAACCACACTGACCTACAAATGACACTGAAGCCAATCAAAGCGCCAGAATCCAATATCCAATATCGTTTTTGCCATCTAGTGTAAACCAATTTGATTTGCTTGTTCTCGCTTCTTGTTTGTGAGGTATAGTTTCTTGTTCTTTGTAAAACTTCTGCCTAGTTTGTTCCGCTACTCGACTGTAATAGCTTTGGTTCGAAATGTTGCGCTACAGGTTTTCTGTTTCTGCGTCAATCATCTTTTCATATTTAAGCGAATTAGCCACATTCCCCATATTATCCACATATCCGTACTTGAGAAGGATTTTATTGTGTCACCTGGAACTATATATAGTATTCACTTGCTGGAATCTACAACCCGGAATCTTCTGATACCCCACCTAAACACGCGGAACTGAGGATTTTATCCTCAAGCAGTGCTGGTAAAGGAAATTTTGACTTTTTATTTTGCAATATACAGCTGTCTGCCACTGTTTTTGATACTTCAATAATACAACAATCTCTACTACCGCATCCGCTCTTAATTCTACTTCCAGTTCAAGTTGTACAGAAGTTTTATTCAACTCAGTAGTAGTAGTAATAATTATCATAATAATTTGTATTTTCATATTAACATAAATTTACATGAAAATGCATGCCATTTTTACAGGCACGATCAAGTATGGTATAATGTCAAATTGTCTACGAGTTATAATAATAATAATAATAGTATATTCTCATTTTGTACATGAGAGACGCCAGTTTACAGGCATCATCAATATGATAAATTACATATACGATTAGCAATCATAATTAATAATAATGTTTTAATAAAGTACACATTTTTTCCTACTTGTGTAGGACACACCAAATATACAGGCATGGATAAGCATAAATTAAATTTCATAAATTCGGTTTATGGTTAAGTTACATGGTTGCTGGCGTTTTTGTTTTAATAATAATTATAATAATGTATATTCTCATATAAACATATAAATTTACATGAAAATGCATGCCATTTTTTTAGGTCTGTGGGAACAATATGATAACCAGTCATTCAATGGAGCACATCATGAAATATAGGAATATTGACTTCGCATTAACAAAAAAACCCAAGTAAGTTTCGGATGGATTAAAAATACTTGGGAAAAAATAAAGCTTGAAGTTATTCCACAATATAACAAGTCATTCAATGGAGCACATCATGAAATATAGGAATGTTGTCTTCGCATTAACAAAAAAACCCAAGTAAGTTTTGGATGGATTAAAAATACTTGGGAAAAAATAAAGCTTGAAGTAATTCCTCAATATAACCTGGGTGTGTACAAATCCGAATCTCATTTTTGATTTGATTTATATCCAAATTGGGTAATAAGGAAGCTATTTTTACAGATACGATCAGTTATGTTATAAGCTACAATCGTGAAGTTGTATTACAAATTGATACTTTTCCATTGGTATAAGAGTATATTCCACAAATGTAATCCAGGTTGCGTCGTGGAGAAAGTTAATTCGTTATTAACCAGGCAACTGAAAGATACGGGACCAATAATGTTTGCAGATCATTTGTCATTGTAAATGGTCAAATATCCACATTATTCATTCTCATTCAAAAAGTCAAATGGAAGCTGAAATGGTGAGAGAAAAAAGAAGACAAACAACAGCAACGCAAAAGAAAGCAACGGGAGTCCTTAAGGAGTGATTAATAAATATAAACATATATATTCTGTTTAGTAACTGTGGTTATTTTGGTACACAAACTAACTAGTCCCGTTATGCTAACTTTTATATTATGTGTGAACTAATATTACTGTCCTGTGTAGAAATGTTAATCATCTAGTTCCAATAATATTAAAATTTATAATTGTAGTTTGCTGTAACTACACGTTTAAACAACTTAAAATATCTATGTAGGGTGAAAAAGAGGGTGTAAGAGTCAGACGTATAAGTGCATTGTCATCTTTGAGCAGTCTGGTGACTGAGGAGATGAACACTGGAAGTGTGTTTGCATCGCGCACATTAGCTGGTAGTCTATTCCAAATGACTGAAAACTTATTTAAGAAGAAGTTGTACCGCACGTAAGTCTGACAGTGCTCTATAGCAGCTAGGTTGTGATGATTTCTAAGATTGTAACTGACGACAGCGGTAGGTTTAGTTATTGGCTCGGAGGAATGCAAGAGAAGATTAGTTAGCTTATAGTAAAAGATTAGGTTTAGCTTAAGGCGTCTTTTCCAGAGGGGTTCTAATCTTAGTCTTACGCATCTCTCATGGTATTCCAGACTACTTTCTAAACCAAGAGTTCTTGAGGTAAACTGCCGTTGCACTCCCTCTAATTTAAGCTTGTCATTTTGTCTTAGTCCGCTAAGAATAAACGGGCAGTATTCTAAGATAGGTCGGACACATACTTTGTATAATAAAACCCTAGTTTCACAACAAAAGAAATTGCGTGTTATGCATCCTATCAGCCTACGCGTTTTACGTCTGGCATAATCAGTCTGTTCAGCGAACGTTAGGTTACTAGAGTATCTAATACCGAGATCTACGACTGAATTGAGCTTAGCTAGTTTTCGCCCATTTATTTCAAGGTTTAGATCAAGCTTACTGTTGCCGATACAAATCCAGCCGCATTTGTCAATGTTAAAATTTAGGCAGGATTCAGCACACCACGTTGCAAGGCTACTTAGTTCAAGATGTATTTTATCTACCATATCGCTTAATTCATGAGTGTAGCAGGAGTAGACGACTTTGAGGTCGTCAGCATATAGGAATGGTTTACCTGAGGTGAAGCACTTGCAAATGCTGTTAATGTAAACTGTGAATAAAAGTGGACCTAGGACACTACCTTGCACGACCCCACTTGAGATTTGCCTAGGGTGAGACAATACAGATCCAACTTTGGTTATTTGTACCCTGTTGCTTAGAAATGATTTTAACCAGTTCAGTAATGGGTTGCGAATTCCACAAGAGTACAGCTTCTCAAAGAGAATACTGTGAGATACCATGTCAAATGCCCTAGATATATCGAAGTATAGAACAACGACTAGCTTACGTGCTTCGCGATTACTAGTGATGCAGTTGAAAAAGTCGAAGTGGCAAGTAACGCAGGATCTATTTTTGAGAAATCCGTGTTGAGACCTTGTAACAAGATCCTCCCTAATTAGGTAGTCTGACAATTGATCCTTTACAACTTTCTCCATGATTCGTGAGATAACTGGGGTTATATTTATGGGTCTGTAATTGCGGACGTTTGCCCTATCACCAGATTTGTAATGTGGAATTATGAAGCTAGTTTTCCACTCACTAGGGTAAGTGCCAGTGTCCATAGATATTGAGAAGAATTTAAGAAGTAACAGGGGTATATCACACCCACTGTTTTTGAAAATTATCGAAGCGAGGCCATCCGGTCCCGTACTAGTGGAAGGTTTAAGGCTTTTAATTGCTTGTACTATTAGTTGATTAGTGAACACAATGCTTTCAAGGGAAGAGATAGTAAGGGGAGCGGTTTCACCAGGCATATGTGTTTCTAAACTAAAGTTTGCAAACCAATCACTGAAAGTTCACAGATAGTGGCAGGTTCATTGTAGATTACTTTGTCGTGAAGTAAGTATGGGATTTCCCTCGCTGACTGCATTCGTTTTTTAAGAAGTGCCGTTAAGTTATAAACTTTGGAGGTACTTTCAAGTGCCGTTAACTCTTCGTCGAGGTCCTTTTGAGAACGTAGGCGCTTGATAGATTCAAGAGACTCGTGGATTGAGAGCAATAGTGATATGTCCTTAGTGGAATAGTACTGTTTCTTCAGTTTCCTTAACTTATTACGGTGTGCCCTTGGAATATATTCAGTTCGGTGTCTACTTAATTTCACTATTTTATTTGGGGCAACTGTATCTAGACAAAGGGTAACATTCCTGTAAAACAGGGTTACTAAGGCCTCCAGGGAGTCAGTGGTAAAATAGTCATCCCATTGACAGAGTCGAATAAGTTCTTGGACTAATCCCCAGTCTGTATATTTGTAACTACGACATATTGTGCTTCCTGAGTCTTGTTTGTTTCCTGTATTTAGTGGTGAGAAAGGCAGAGAGCAGAGTACCATTCTATGGTCACTACTGGAAAATCTATTACCAACATAAGTGGATACTGGGATTGTGTCATGACAAAAAACAAGGTCCAAAATGTTGTCCCCACGAGTAGGTGTCTGGACGTGTTGTTGCCATCCATAACAGTCTATAGTGGCAAGTAATTCGTCGAAGCGTTGGGGGCCGGAACTAGTTAGCCAATTAACTTCTGGAAGATTGAAGTCCCCTGCAATTATTTTGTAATTAGCACTAAACGAGGATGCATGTGCAAACGATTTAGCTAATAACGCATCAGTTTCTTTTGTTGCGCTTGGTGCTCGATAAACACAGCCTATGAGAAGTTTGTACTTATCTCCATGTAAGACAACCCAGAGTGAGTCAGGTACATTATTCATTGTTTCATCTTCCACCTTACTGACTACAAATGAGTTATGTATATATATGAGACATCCTCCACCACGCTTGCAATCTCTGTTTGCACGGTGTACAGTGTAATCATCGATACCTATATGCACATCAAGTACTGAGGATGAGCACCATGACTCAGTAATCAGAGCTACAGTAGGCTTGGCGACTAATAATAATGTCCTTAGTTCAGATATCTTATTGATTAAGGAGCGTGCATTAATTAGCAATATCGTGAATAAGTCACGGGATACTACAAACTGGCTTAAAATGTCACCATAACCTAAATCTATTTGTGCGT